CGGTCCTGACGGTTGGACAATCACAATATAACCCTTCACGGGGGGAGCTGTAAATATCAGAATAACAGAATTAGTGACATATGCGCAGGTGGAGTTCCTGCTTGCAGATCTGTGTGAGGTTTAGGGTTTGCGGGAGCACTAGGATGCCATCCGAATGTTCTATTTGACTGGCTGCCAATGTGTTGAAGTTCTTTTGAAGTTGAAAGGCCCCAAATTCCCAAAACCTGGAAACCTCAGCCTCTTGAGACCTGATACTACCATGAAGAAGCTTGAACAATCCCGAGAACCCAGAACCCATTATTCAGGTAAGTGGATCCCTAGGGAATTGCAATGTTATCCCCTCCTTAATCCTGCCAGCACCTAGATGAGATTTGTATACCCTTAAACCCGATTCTGAGTGTTTGGGCGAGTGCCTTGAGCCTTCTCTGCCCCTTAGCCCTGAACCCGAAACCCTTGTAATAGGTTGTAGTCCTAATCTCTTCCACTCCATGTTGACCCGCCCCGCCGCTAATGTTAGATGTTTTCGTGATGGTACACTAGGGGCTTTAAGATTATGGGGAGGGATTTGTCTCCTAGGGAGGGATTTGTCTCCTACACTTGATCATGGGTCCTCATAGCAGTCCCTCTAACCCTCACAGTAATATAGCAGTTTAGAAATTTATTTTTTCATTTCCTGCATTCCCCACTCATCAAATGTATTACTTTGAATCCGAAATCCCACACCCCTAAACCCCAAATCCGAAAACCCAAACCCCTAAACCCCCAATCCGAAACCCATAAACAAACACAATCTAAACCGCGGCGGAGGCCTACAAGGAGAGATACATGGCATGGAGGAAACAAGAACCCCAGGGAGCGACTTGTATTCTCATAAGGATTCAGGGTAGGTTAGGGTTCAGGGTTTAGGGTCTTGGGTATTTACTACCTAGGGTTTAGGGTGTTTCGGGTATAGGGTGTAGGATTTAGGGTTTAGGGCTTTGGAATTTGGGTGTTTTGGGGGAGCAGGGTGTAGAATTTTGTGTTTAGGGTATGCAATCATAATGGTTTGGGGTTGTGAAGCGGTCTGGGGAATGCATAGGGTTTAGGGTTTAGGATTTCAAGGTTTAGGAATTTTGACGCCTTGGCATTCGTGGAACAGGAAGGGTTTGAAGGTTGCAAAATGGCTTGCAGGTAAGCATGGGTCCCTTGCATTTCTGGTATTCTTCTTGGAGCTCGCAACGGACAACGTCCACGACTCTTGATGAAAGTGAACTAAAGCGCATTTAACAACATGGCTTACCAGCAGTTTGCTCACGTGTTTTGTTGCGAGTTTCCCAAAAACGGGAACCCCAATCTAGCCCCCAACATATTATGATCCTTATTATCTGGATCCCTATAAAAGGTACCCCCTAATTTGGGGAGACCCCCTAAACCCCTATAAGAGGATAAGAGGGGAGTGGAAGCTGGAAGAACGGTCCCCTCACCCAAACTAAGCCCTGCCCTATCGGAAGAAGCCCAAGTGTAGCGGAGGATATCCTGGTAGCTGGTTGGAGGGGGATGTTCCATTGCAAGGGGAGGGACCCAGGGACGCCCTAAACCCATAAGCCATAAACTTCCTAACCCTGAACCATAAGCCCTATAAGATCCCCGATATAACCCCCGACTATAGCCCATAAACAGCCCCCCTAAAAAAGCAAAGAAGCGACTCGTAAACCTTAAATCAGGGCAAGACATATGTGTACACATCACTGGGGGTTCACCTCAGAACCCTACCACCTGCGTTCGCAGAACGTTGCCGGGTGTTCGCGGAACTTTGGTGGGGTTTGCGGAACCTTTGTGGGGTTTGTAGAACCCCTCGGGGATTTAGTAGAGCCCGTTCGCAGAACCCTGTTTGGGTTCGGTGAACCCTCTGGGGTTCGGCTGCCTTCGGCTAACTTTTTGCGGGTTCGACAAACTTCCGCTTACCCTAGGAGGCGTACTCACAGACAGGTGTACACATACAATTCTCCGCCACTAAACCCTAAATCCCTAAACCCTAAACCCTTAAAAACCCTTAAACCCTACACCCTAAACCGTGCCGTAAGGCCAAAGGCGAGCTCACGGCTGCACCTTGAACTTCAAGTGAGTAGTATTTTATTTGGGTTTAGGGTTTAGGGTTTAGGGTCTATGGTACCTACTATAGAGTAAGATTATATCCTCCTTTTGGGGCATAGTATTTTATATAAGGAATAGAATCTAGCTAGGTTCAACCACCAGAAAAACACTACTCAAGTATCGCTCCGTTGGTCCCATTACCCACAGGGATCTTCTCCCTGGGCTTGTATTGGGATAATTGAAAATAGAAGGGAGGATGATGGAAAACACAATCGAAACTACTATGGGGTTTAGGGAAGGGTTTGGATTAGGGTTTAGGGCTAAGGGACTATAGAAGGCTATATGAAGATGATAGGTTTTTGGAGATCGCCCCCGTTGTGGAAACTCAACTGGCAAAGACGACGGAAAACGCCATGGAAACTAGAGTTGTATGAGGACTATGTGGGGGATTGTTTTGAGGCAATCATCATAGGGCTTGGGTACTTCCAGCCTCTTTAATACTTAAGGACCTGTTGTTCAGGGGGTTGTAGGGTTTTGCCATTTGGAGATTGAGGGGCTCAGGCTTTCAGGTTTAGGGCTTACATTGAGCATGGGGACCTTAGTCATGACAACCTTTCACTGTAGCGGATGCTCAGTGGTAAGCCCCAAACACGGAAGGTTTCTGTGGACAACCCCAGCCATTCTGTTTGAATGCAAGCTCCTATCCGGGAGCTCGGTAAAAATGAAAATATGCTCGCCCTTTCTGCCCCAGCTTCGCCCTGAGATTTGAATAGTGCCCGACTTTGAGACAAACTAATTACCCCAACAAGTAGACATCACCCGACTTTGACAAACTGCCATGTCTGCTGCAAGAGCTGAAGGACATGGAGCCACCGAATCGTCAAGGCCTTGTCGGGCGTGCGGTCTCAGCATTTGAGCTGTTTGGGGTTTGGGGGCTTGGGATTCAAGTAATATCCCCTAATCCCTAAACCCTTAAACCCTAAGCTCTAACCCCTAAGCTCTGAACCCCTACACCCTAAAGCATGAATTCAGGGTCTAGGCGGGTTGGTGGTTGGGGTTTGGAGTTTGGGACTCTTTTGCCTCTGGTAAGTTGGGCCTGGTACGCTTTCTACGACGCAATATGCTTGGGAGACAGCTTGAGGATCATGTGGGCCATGCTCTTGACTCCTTAAAGCGGGATTATATAGGGGACTACTATAGGGGATATTTGGGGGATATTAGGAGTTTAGACCATGGCTCATATGTTCTCAACCTAAACCGTCAGCCCCCAACCCTGTGTTGAGAAACAGCCTGGGGACTGAACCCTGAACCGGGATCTGCTCACAGCCAATGAAGCCCAGGTGAGTGTTATCTTAGTTGGGTTTATTTTAGTCAGTTCTCAATATAGGGGAAGACGGTGCAGTGGATTGAGGTAAACAAGGGGTATACGCTATATAAGGTGGTGCAAGATTTCCACAGCATGCTCCGTCTGGATCTTGAATTGTGCAATGAAACTGTCCTTTTACTAGCTTCAACCACAAAAAATGATACTCCTGTGAGTGTCCCACCCATTAATCCTGACCTAACCTTGCCACAATCCGGAGGATGCCTACAAAGACAGGAAACCCCTAAATGTGCCTAACTTACGCTATAGTAGTTTCTATTTTGCCACTATCCTTATAATATAACCCGGATATATATACCCTATGATCGTCCCAAAACCCTAAACCCTATTATAGCCCCAAGAAGGCCCCAAGAAGTGAAATTGTTGCCAGGTTTTGGCTTTTGGTACCCTTCGCTGGAGGTGGGGACAGGGGTTCGGGGGTTATACTCCCCCTTAAGTAGATAGAATATGGGGTATCTGGGGATCTTAGTATGATATACCCAAAGCCATATTCTATCTACTTAAGGGGGAGGATATCTTCTAACGCTGCATGATAACAATAGGATGGACATCACAATTTAGTATTCAGAATTACAACGTAAGATGCTATCGTACCGCTCGTGCTATGATAAGCGGCAGTAGAGTCCAGAATAGTGGAATGCAATGCACTATATGTTGAATTTTCATGCCATGTAAGGCCGTATTGTATCATACTATGATGTAGCATGCAACTACATGGCGTGATGCAGAACCGTGCCGTATAAGGTAACATGCTAACAGCATGCAGCCAAGACCACAGCTGCCCTTCGCTGTGCAGCTAGGATGCGCATGGATGCAGGTGTGGCAGTGGCGAAGGACTTTGTCATACTGGATTGCCGTGACTTTCTTTGAAGGCTACCCGGTTGGGATTAAGCCCTTCCGCATGCAATTCTCAAGTTCATTTGGCTTTTGGCGCTGAACGAGGAGGGTAGCTCCTTTTGTTTGGACGATCCTGTCGCATCCAGATACTTTGTAAAGGCACCCGAGCCTCGTGTTGTAAATCTGGACAGCCAGGGGTGGGCTAAGGGATTGGGATACTCCATGCAAGCTTGAAGCAGAAATCCGGCCGACACTACAGCAACTTTGCGACCTTCAAGCCCCAAACCTCCGACCTCATGAAAATAACCTGTGCTCGATCATACGGCCCCTTGTGCGGCTCCCCGTTTCCTACGGGAAGAGTATGATGACAAGAAATCTTGCGCAAGACTCAAGGTCCCGCATCATGCTTGTGGTGAAACACCTTTAGGGTTTGGATACACCTTAAT